TTTGAAAACTGCTTTTTTAGCTATTTAGACAAAAAATGAACCTTATCTTTGATACGTGTACGTATTTCTAGAGTAGATACAATTCTCAAATGTAATCTGTCAACTAAGATTGGTTTGCGTGGCTTTACCTGTTGATCTTTTTACTTTAGTAACTTAGTTTGCAAATAGTTATTATAGCAAATAGCTTCACTAGAGGACTGACTCTAGACTGATATTTTTTCTAATTATTTAATATTCATATATTTCGTTTCAACGTTCTAAAGTGCCTTCCTGGGCTAATTGAAATAGATGATATGACTTTGAGTTATAAAATAATCCTTTTATCTACTGGTTTTATATGTAACATCAATTTTATGTCACGATTATTGTGTTATAATTATTATAATTAATTTTTTGTGTATAACCAGGCGTGTTTATTTTAAATTATGCTTTTTAGTCCATATTAACCGATTACCAGTAGCATAACAACATCAATAAGCTTGGAAAATCTATTTGAGATCTTTTTTGACTCATCATTGTCATCAACCATTCCAAATCTACTAAAGAAACCAAAAAACCAATAATCCTCCATAAATATTTCAGATATAAAACTCATATTACGGATGTGGGAGACCGCTTAATCCCGCCACGAATTCCATTTCGTAGTCATAAGTAAATATTAGTTGAGTACCCTTTCTAGGGGACAGTGTACGGGTTTACTTTGATATATCAAATATAAAAGCTTTTATCCGATTAATATTTGTCGTTTCTATATTTGGTATGTTGAGACTTGCACGTTTTACAGATGTAGGATTGTAGGTATACAAAAAAATTAAGAAACCAGCATCTGTAACCAAATGCCATTTAGCGCTTGTCTACTTGTAGAATAGAAAACTAAATTATATGGAATTGACGTAAATTTTGACACTTGTCAGTGTCAGTCCCGTACATTTTGATTTCTACTCTCTCTGTAGACAAGCGCTAAAGTGGCGTTTGGCTAAAGGCCCAGGTGTCTTTCTAATAGATGTTATCAAGTGACGTCTTCTTTTTAGACTAGTTAACTTCTAATGAGTGTGTTGTAGCTAATTATTTCAAATTGTTCTTTTTTTAGTATTAAGTAGGACATCTGCTACCATCCCTTGATCCAACAAAGTCATAAATTTTCCTAGGTCTTAGTCTATTAAACTGTCAAACACCAAGCGGTCATCGGTGACCGCAACCTATTGTTCTTTAATTGTGTCTATAATGACGGTACTCAACGAGTTAAAGATATTTAGAATTGAATTAGAAATTAAGAATTAGAAAAAAAACTGTAGGTATATTTAGAATATCAATCCAATTTAAGACAATGCACTTACTTATAATATAGAACTCATTGTAGCCAAAATACCGAAGTAAATATCATTTTATTTCACCAAAACCTTAAAAACTTTTTATGTTTGTGAGTATGTTTGTTACTGTATTCAAAGACGACAAAACGGCTGTAAAGATAGTGATAAATTTTAAAATTGGGGTAAATTATATCTGAAATACACGTAAGCTACTTTTCATGACTACCTTGTTAGCCGAGTGGTCGCAAGTGCGACTGCCGGGCAAGGGGTCTCGGGTCGATTCCCAGGTCAGGCAAAGAATTACTGGGTTTTAAAAATCTCAGTAGTAGCACAGAGTCTGAAAATGTGGCTGGTATATGGCAATAGGCTCACCCCCTATTACATGGGACTCATAACATAAATAGTGAAAAGTGGATGTTACATTGTACAGTGGCGTTAAGTAATGTGATGTGCATCTCTGCCTACCCCTTCAGGGATAAAAAGGTGTGATGTTATGTTATGCTACTTTTCATCTTATTGGAATGCAGGCGAAACGAAGCCAAGGTGATATCTAGCACAAGCTAATTCTATTATAATCAAAACGACCTTGAAAATATAATACATATACACAAATAAACAAGAAGCTTCTAAAAGCCACTAGAAACCACTAGTTGTAGAGAGAACTTATATCCACAGTACAATTAACAGTTTAGATGGGAACATGTGCCGGATATTGTGGAGGCATGATTGCGATCCAATTTCCCGATACAAATGTGGCCACGTGTGAACTAAGCCTTGAAAGGACTGTCATATCTGCTGGTATCATTGATACGAAATATGGCGGTGGTAATTGATCGTCCTTCAAGTAAATGTTATTTTGAAATGTATTGGTTTTGAGATGTTTTTATGAAAAAATGTATTGTTAGATTTATGCAATTTGGTTTTCTTTTGTAGATAAATGTTATTCTCAAGAATATAAAGTTACTGCTACGTAGTACGTTGATCTGATTGGCAGTTTAAGATGAACGTGGAGCATAAACTGTTAATTCCATGATAAGTAAAAAGACAGTAACTACCTTGACTTACTTGAGTATTATGTTTTTTTTGGATTATACTGGTTAACGAGCAGACAGATTACCTAATAGTAAGCAATCGGCTCCACCCATGCACACCCGAAGGCCCAAACATTAGAGGTGTTACAAATGCGTTACCGCCATTTTGGGGATTAGGAATTTAAGGATTGTTGCGGATTCTGGGTATTGGGGAGATTGGAGAGGGGGTAATTGGGCCTACGGTAACCTCACTCTCACGACGAAACACAATGCAAGTATTGTTTCAAGTTGGTTTTCTGTGAGGCCGTGGTATCACTCCGGTTAAGCCGGCCCATTCGTGATGTGGCATGGCTCTCCCATAGTAAATACTTCTGTCTTCCCTTTACTATAACTAATAGGGTGGAGTAAAATCAAATTCAGTAGTCTAAAAATAAGCGAAACCTACAATAAAAACACTTTTATCAACCTCTCTATGCTATAAATAGATTTTTCCGTGAATATGTAACGATGACATCTTTATTTTTGTCATAATTTTAATAAAATTTCAACCGTCCCCTTTTACCTTTTATTACGGGGTAATTAACTTAATATTTCATAAATAAGTTTGTGCTGAAATTAAATTGTGATGAGATCAAATTAATAGAAGATTGTACTGCTTAATAACTTTGGGAGCAACCGCGAAATGCTGTTAAAATTCGTGGAATATTGAATAAGTTAAAATACACAATGTGCTATCGGTTTTAGGGCGTGCACGCATATTAATTAAATATTTATATCGAAGGGTACTTATAATTAATGTAGTTTGTGGCACCAGTCTCAGATCTTTATAAATGTTTCGAATATAAGGCTTACATACATACATACATACATAACTTCACGCCTGTCTCACATGGGGGTAAGAGACTAGGGAACGCCAATTACTACGATTCTTACATACCTCTTTCACTTCACTAACAGTCAGCATAATATAAGGCTTACCTACTTTTTAAATTTTGAAAATGGATAAAATATTTACACTTGGTCTTCACGAAATGTAGCTAAAACTCTGATTTATAAAAATTATATGAGTGAAATGGAAGGATAATAGGAAAAAATTGAAAAAATTAAATAGAGACCAAATAATAAAACAGTCAAGTCAGCGCAATGCATAAATAAAACTTTATAAAATCTCAAATAATGCTGGCAACATTTATTTCACGATCTCAAGTCCATTAAGGTCCGTATATCGCATTTCTAATCAAGAACGTAAGGGATTTTACCCATTTTTTACTCACAGCGTATTTTTTACCCCAAAATTATTATATCTCGATGATTCCGCAGAGATTAGCAACGAGCACTTCTGGGAGTACAAAAATTTTTGAGACACACTGTCATTTAAATCACACAAGATTAACATTCTTTTTTCAAAAGGACTTTCGGACCCCAAATCCATTTATGCCAAATTGAAATGAAGGTAAAACGAACGCAGGTAGTATTAAAAAAACGGTTTTCCCTCTTTGATCACATTGAGAAAATTGAATTGGACGTGTGTGGTTACCTTTTTGGAGTGACAAATCCTATGAGGCAAAGGCTTACTATAGGAATTATTAATAAACGTTCGGTTCACTTTTTCCTTTTAATGTAACTTTTGTTGGTTATTTACAAGAAAACCTGAGAATGTTTTATTAATATAATGACAAGCATTTTATTTTTTAGACAGTAGAAGAGAATGTATCTGTAATTCAACTGTTTTAATATGTGGAAAAAAATGCTACTGTTGAGTAAACTATTTTGAACTGAAACCTCAAGGCAAACAGTGAGTGCTTCGCGTTTCGCGCGAGCATCTGCGTAGGAACGTATGTAGGAACGGGGTGGTTTATAGTCAGAAAGAATCTGACACTTTCTCTCGCCTAACCGAAGGCGAAAAAGTCATTGGATGATTTTCGCATCTTAAAAAATAGGCAAACAATACAGTCAATGGAACAACTCTGCCTAAGTGCTTACCCCTTAATGAAATAGCAAGTGTGTCGATATCAGGTAGTATACAATTATCCTTTCATTTTGGCATCTATTAAAATCAAGCCTACTCAGTCACTCTGAGTGGTTTTTAATCTCGGGGACCATTTTTGTGAGATTGATTAAACTTACTGCTAAATTAAGTTGTTATTGTTGTGTTTCGTATTCCTAGCGAAAGGTTTTAGGTTATTTTGTACAGGTAAATAAATCGTTTTAGGTATTGAACGTGTTTTTCTCTTGAGTTAAATTGAGAAGTGATGTTAGAATTACTGAGTCCGTAATGTTTAGTCCCATAAATTTTATCGCATATTTTCTGTAAAGAGATGACAAATATTGAATTAGATACCTTCATAACATTTCGTCCATGATATCACCAATACAATACAAAGTTTTATGCAAAACCAAACAATTCGCGACTAGGCACCGGATTATGGAATAATACTTTGCCCAAAGAAATTTACATAAGAAATTCTCAACTAGCTCGCTAAAGAAACCAAATTTTTATCTAAATTTACCTTTACATAATTCCTAATCATTTCTAACACCAACTCAATTACTAATACCACTAAAGTCATCCGACAAACTCCTCAATAACCACCAGCTCATTGGTCTACTATAGTCTAATTAAAAGCCAGAAAACTCTATAAAATGACAAACTACTTACCAATAGGAGGAGCACCAAGCCATCCAGGTGCCCAACCAGCTCCCAGCCCCTTCCTTTGCCTCGCCAAGAGCTGTATTGTCAAGGCATACGTCAGCAGCATCACACCCAGTGGAATGTAGAAAGAGATGATGGACCCGATGGCCTTGTACAAATTATCTGGCACTTGACAGGAACCGTCGATCAGAACTGAATCTGCATTCTGTGGATAAAAACAAATTGAATGAGGAATCAATAAAGTCTAGTAGTTATTTTGATCAAATGGCAACAAGAGATTAAAAATTAAGAGTGAGTGAATAGAAAATCACATTCCTCTCGGAATAATAAGCCACTGGGATAACGACCCATGATATTTTCTTTTTAGACATACTTCTCAGTTATCTGCATTCCTTATCAATTATTTCTTTTATTAGTTTCGAAACAAATACATTGTAATTTAATGTGGGTCTAAAAAGTTCTAGTAACAAAATAGCTTTCCACTCTCATAGCAAAACATTTTATTGCGAAGAAAACAGTTCATTCCTATTAACTGCTGACAGCATTACTTAGGACAACATTTCCGAATTATCGTTCCCAATATTTACCGGCGCAGAAGAAAAGCGATAATATAATGAAAACAATGAAAGTTGAACCATTGCGATTGTAAGGAAATTAGGTAAAACACCACGCCACCGAAGCGAAATGGAATTATCTGTTTTTGTAACGGTAAGTTGGCAAAACAATTCGGTGATCTGGTAATGGAAAATGGTTACCTTATTAAGGTATCCTGCTTGTATCCGACTCGATAAATATTAAGTGACTTGAGTAGCGATAAATGTTTGTTGTCTTTGATTAGTATTCAATATAAAATTATCTAGTATACACGTAGACACCTCTGGCTTACTGGCCCTACTGGCTGTCCCGATAACGCGAACAGTCGCGCATGCAAATTCTCCGCTTGTTCGAGCATTAACGATGATCAATGCTTTCTTGCCATCCGCACCAGAGTGTGATTTGTTCGAAGCGAGATGGATGTATGTCGTGAATGTGTAAGATTTTGTGAAAAGATAGACGGCTGATGAATTAGTTTTATGTAATTGTATATTATTGTACTTTTTATATATGATACCTATTACATAAGTGTAAAGTAGTAAATATATATTTTTTTGTTGTTTAACTGTATCATGTGTTGGCTTGTGCTGTAAAATTATGCATGTGCTTATAAATAAATCAAAAGCCTACGACAGGTTTCTTCTAAATATGGATAAGTTAGTAATTTCTTAATAGCATGCTATGGCTCTTATTTTGAAAAAGGTTGGGCAACGGTGTGCTAAAAGCGTACAAAACACAAACATTTTTGCTCTTTAAAATAAATCTGTGCGGATTGAAATGAAATGTCCCCTATGGCAGACAGGCGTGAAGTTATGTATGTATTAATGATTCAAAAATAAATTAAAGGTACTATTTTTAGACATAACACTTCATTGTATCAAACGAAACATTGTTTCACATCTTCCATTCCAAACCAATCATTTGAAATTCAACTGTATTCTGTAGAACTTAAGTGTTTTTATTTGTATGTGACAATGAGGAAGATTCAATTAATTTCATTAATTAGTGTCAATTGTTAATCGTGTGCCATTGACAATAGATTGTGAGAATATTGATCGGTTTCCACTTCAGGAGTTTGTTGGAATAAATCAATGTGTTAATTCATAATTGTCATCTTTATATGTTCTGTGATTGTCATTATCGACAGATTATTGTCATGATCGACAGCCTGTGGCAGCCCACTGGTAGACTCTGCTGGATCTTTTGTCCACAATGTTTATTGATATAGTCTCGTAGACCCCTAGCCCAGACTATAGGTCTAATCCATATAAAAGGGTTTCCCATAATCTCTACCCTTGAAAGGCGGGTTGAAGATTGTATTTTGAAAAGTTTAGGTTTACCAAAGAGCGCTACAATTGTAGAGAAATAATTATTTTGTGTAATCCAAAGAATTGTTCGTATCTGGGTGTAATGTGTAAAGTAGTGTTTGTAAAGGCCCAATTACCCCCCTCCCTAGTCTCCCGAAACCTCGACAATCCTCAAATTCCCAATTCCCAAAAGGCCGGTAACGCACTTGTAACGCCTTGGTTTTTCGGGTGTCCATGGGCGGCGCCGATTGCTTACCATCAGGTGATCCGTCTGCTCGTTTCCCGGCTTATGCTATAAAAAAGGCAACATTTTTATTTTCGAATGATCTATGTCCTAGCAATATTTTTTTTAATAATCTTAGACGTTTTCGGTCATATTTGATGTCATTACGTCTGATACTAATCCTACTAATCAATACAAGTAATTAATCATTAATCGATTACATTAAGACTAAGCTGAAAGTCTTAACATCTTTCTGATCGATTACAATCGAATACAATTGTAATTGAAATGAACACCTTTTATTTATAACCGAACTCACAACTCGAGTGTTTCGATTAACACTAATCGCCTACATTTCTATTGGTTGAAACAAATCCATTAATAATTAAAACTTTATCTATTAATTGATCAGTACTTGTTTTGTACTTATAACAAGTTATTTTATTAACCTAATTGATGTTTTTTGTTTTATTTCTAGCACTCTAAAAGTTTCAATTGGTTGTTAGGTCTTTTTTTTAACCCTCCGAGCGTCCTTATGAGCACCCGGTGGAACACAAGAACTGGTTTCTCTTTTATAAAATCTATTATTAATGTTTTGTTTTTATTTTGACTGAATTTGTTTTATTTCTATTATAATGATCCTTATTTTCGTGTGCCAATGGCCAAATAAATGCATTTTCTGCATGCATAAGGATAAAAAAATGCACAAGGAACGCGGACGCTCGACGAGAGTTGGAAAATCATCGAATGTCTTCTCCAGCCTGGGTGAGGCGGGAGGGAGTGTCAGACTCTTACTGACTAAAAACCACCCCGTTCCTACTCCTGCACTTCGAGCCGGAGCCCCGGTAACCAGTTAAGTTCTCCGCGGCTCCGAATCGGTTGTTAGCTCTGGTAGTGTTTAAAGGTGTAATTTGTACTTAAGTTCTGGTTTGTGATCGATTTTATGGATTTGATGATAGTGAAACGTAACGTAACAGACACTTTAGAGTTTAAATATTATACACACATAATTATGTATATTTGTGAAAGACTTTCAACATCTATGTTAATTACCAGTTTCTTGAGTCCTGACTTCCTGATCAAAAAAATAGCCATTACTTAACACTTTTAGCCTCGTCACTGTCTTCAGACAAAAAAATATATTTCTATCGAAATGTTCCACTTCCACGTAAAAGAACACTCACGTTTATAATGCTTACTATAGTAATAAGATAGATAGGTACCTACTGGCAACATTTTATTTAGAAAATAATAAGACACAATAGACTACACCACAACAAAACAATTAAGTATTAATACGTTTCACTAATTAAACGGCCCATGAGTCGACGCAATTTAGAATTCCAAAACTATTTGCCAAAGGGTCTTTGAAAAGACGCAAATATTCTAAAACTGTAGCGTTAATTTTACAATGAATTGATTTCAAATGGAAAATAACAAAGACTTATGAGAAACACTTAAGATATTTTAGAAGAAAATTGATATTGTAGTCAACGACCCGACAGATGAATAGTTGTTGAACGGCAAATCTATTTTACTGAGAAAATAATGGTTCAATTTTACGGCTGTCGTATGAGATGTAATGCATATAATACATTAATGGTTAAAATGAATATTTACATAACATCACGCCTTTTATCCCCGAAGGGGTAGGCATAGGTGCACACAGAAGTAACACCCAATTTTCACTATTAATGTTATAAGTCCCATGTAATAAGGGTGAGCCTATTGCCATATACCGGGCACAATTCCAGACTCCGTGCTACTACTGAGATTTTTTTTAAAACCCAGTAATACTTTGTCTGTCCTTTTTTTGAGGTGGGAAAATCATCCAATGACTTCTCCCGCCCGGGTGAGGCGGGAGGGAGTGTCAGACTCTTACTTACTAAAAACCACCCTGTTCCTACTCCTGCACTTCGAGCCGGAGCTCCGGCAACCCGTTGCGACCACTCGGCCAACGAGGCAATCTTTGGCCGAGGCAGATGAATATTTATTGGACGTAACTAACAACAATCTGTGACATAGTAGGTTGTACATATTAAGATTGATAATAAAATAAGTAAACAAAAAATGTACTGATAGATTACCTTTATTTTTTATATAGGATAAGCCGGTAAACGAGCACACGAATCACTTGATGGAAAGCACCCATAGACAACAGAAACACCATAGACGTTACAAGTGCGTTACCGGCCTTTTGGGGATTTGAAATTTGAGGATTGTTGGGGATTTTTGGATTGGCGAGATTGGGTAGAAGGGTAATTGAGCCTCCGGTAACCTCACTCACACGACAAAACATAACGCAGGCGTTGTTTCACGTCGGTTTTCTGTGAGGCCGTTGTCTATTGATATAGTTTATCAATAGCTATATTAACATTTCGGTGGCATGAACTTATAATCTTATATCTATGCCCAGTACTTCTTATTAACCACATAACCATGGCATTTATCTATAATAAATTATATCCGACGTGACATTTCTTGTAAGCCACAAATAAACTAATAGATTATTTATTCTGACATAGTCCGATAGTGAAATATAATGAAAAAACAACGCCACTTAGATTTCGTTGAGTTTTTCCTTAAGAGTAACGAACTCTAAAGTAATACGAATGTATCTCTTGAGTGTGCTTGATTTTGGTTACACGTATTTTACAATTATATACCTATATATTATGTATAGGTACATGTAACTGTTGTATTCGATTTTTTGTGTTTAAGGAAGGTACAGGTGATTCATTTTGTTATTCCTGTGTATTAAAATGTTTGCTTTATTAATTAATTTAACTCGTCGAGTACCGTATTTATAGACACAATTAAAGAACAATAAGTTGCGGTCACCGGTGACCGCTTGGTATTTGACAGTTTAAATTACTAATGGATGCTGAATGGCTCGTTGGCTGAGTGCAACTGCCGCAATCTAGTGCAACTGTCAGGCAAAGAGTCTCGGGTTCGATTCCCAGGTCGGGCAAAGTATTATTGGGTTTTTATGCAAATTCTCAGTAGTAGCACAAAGTCTAGAATTTTATAGTGCCCAGTATATGGCAATAGGCTCACCCTCTATTACATGGGACTCATAATATAAATAGTGAAAAGTGGGTGTTACATTAGACAGAGGCATTAATTGCCGTACCTCTGCTGCATACCCCTTAAAAGGTGTAATGTAATGATACCTATGTTGTAAATATCTGTATTCTACAAAGGCTGCAGGCCCGCAACTGTGGAGGCGTCGGATGAAAGCCGCTTCGTGAGTCCGTAACCTTAGAGACTACATATTTGTCAAAGACTGGACAACTATGGCGCCCTCTGATAAACCTGAACCTTATAAACTGTGAATTTTTACTTGTCTTCTAAGAAAGGAAATTATGACAAATCTTCTTAGGTAAAGAAGGTTCATAATCGAGCAACGGATTGTCATACCCTGTGAATGATGATACTAACATAAATGTCACTTGTCAAGTCACTAACTTCATCAATTTTTGATCTTACGTAGACATATTTATACAAAAATATAAAAAAATTAAGTGCTTTGCTTACTGTTATCTTTAATTTATTCGATACTAAAAAGTATGATTAATCGATTCGAGAATCGTTTAGGGCTCGTTAGGCAAACGAAATCTCGATTACAATAATCTTTCATTCATAAATTCCAAATTTAAAATGTTTTTGCTTCGTACAGGCCACAGATTATATTACGCGAACTAATTTCCCGTTAAGAGATTTTTTGATGAAAGTAGGTTTAATTTAAAAATTCTATTCTTTGCTAGAATTGGATGGGCCCAAGTTTGATTCTGAAGCTGCTATTTGAACGGGCCCCGCTATCCAATTTAGAAAATGACTCCACAAGATCTAGTTCAGTTCCCGTTTATAATTAGGATAAAAATATTCTTTAGAGAAATTTTCTTTGACATCGTAGCGTCGCGAGCATTGCTATTTTATTCAAAATCTGTGGTAATGGATGTTAGAAAGAATGAGTAGTTTTTTATTACAACATTTTTTATGCCATAAGCCGGTAAACGAGCAGACGGATCACCTGATGGTAAGCAATCGGCGTCGCCCATTGACATTTGGAACACCAGAGGCGTTACAAGTGCGTTACCGGCCTTTTGGGGATTAGGAGTTTGGGGATCAGACCCGAGCGACCCGACCAGAAACAGACCCGAGCGTACGGCGCGTCGCGTTCCGCGCGCGCCTCAAAGAGCCATCAGACCACCACAGATGGGGCCTAACAGGGCCGATGCCGATTAGGAGTCGCGGAGAACCTAACGGGTGACCGGGGCTCCGGCTCGACGTGCAGGAGAAGAAACGGGGTGGTTTTTACTCAGTAACAGTCTGACACTCCCTCCCGCCTCACCCAAGTGGGACAATCATGATTTTCCCCCCTTAAAAAAAACCGTCACTGTATATACTCGAAACAGCTTTATTTGTTTACAATAACCTGCATTTATTTACTCACATACCCTCACATAGTCAACGCCGCGACAAAAGTAGACTTTGTGTCCAGCCTACTAAAACAGCGCTTTTATAGAAAAATGTAATATTCAAAGCTCTAATAAATTTATAATCACATACCACTTCTCACTTCGAGCCGGAGCCCCGGTAACCCGTTAGGTTCTCCGCGACAACGGCAACGGTGGGTAAATAATGAGGTGAAAATAAATAACTTACTTCTTAGGCTAACGCTACTTTCAAGGCAAGCTGTGACATAGGTACACTACAGCGTATAAAACGATAAATAATTAAACAGCTTACATAACAAAAACTATTCATAAACTTCATATAAATATAACATAGTATATAGCGCCTTGACTATCAGCGAATATATAATAATTAAGCTACAATATCAATTAGAACAATAATTACACCGAGCATGCGACACATGCTAAGCACGTTTGGCACGCTTCTCAGTATTTTGTTAAACTTTCTGTACTGGCTGGAAAAAACATTAAATCATATAATATGTTCGTGTACTTGTATTCCCAGAATGTGTGGGTAAAGGTGTTATTATTGTATGGCTTTTCGACACTCATTGTAATCGCTGAAATTGTGTTTGGTTTTTAACTGTGTGCCGTTTGCTACAAATAGGGAAAAGTTCCTTAACGCCGGACGGCACCTAACGCCGGACACTTTCATTATAGGAAATATTAAAAAATAAAGAAAAATACATAATTACAATTAATACAACTTGACGGCACGATTGGTGCGGTGGCTGGGCAACCAGATGCCGTGCAATGTGACGCGGGTATCCGCACGGAACAACACTTTGTGTAATCCACAAAAATGTTGTTTCGGGTCTTTGTGTCATTGTGTATGTGAACTTGTATGTTTGTAAACGCACCCACGACACAGGAGAAAATCCTAATGCGGGGCAACGTTATTTGAAATTAAAAAAAAATATAAATACTTATAGTTTTATTTACTCAGTAGCAGATAGTGCCAAAATGTGGTACTACAGGCGGGAATATGTTGTCTCAGACACTTGATACTCTGCCAGCTGGAGAGGGCAACTAACAATTTTGTGCAACATGCATTTACGCATGCCAATAATGTGTCTACACGGATACAGATCGAGCTATGAACACCAGTATAAACTGACCGTTTATTGTTCGAAAAGATCATACAAAGATAGACCTAGACAAACTGGTTAGTTGCATAGTTCAATTGTAAACATGTACAAACACAACACAATTACTGAGCACACTCAATTATTTTTAAATGATTTAATTTAAATTTCAGTTTTATATTGTGTCGATGACAAAAAGGGACAATTACAAATTAAATTAATATTGTACCTACATGTATTCTGTGAAGCCATATAATGGTATTGCTTTTACATGATAAATATAGTAGAGACTCTTTTGATAGTGATATTGTGAACTTTTACCTACTATTTAGGAAAATAAGACATGTTATAACGCAATGCAAACGTAAATGCTACATAGTAAAATACTAAAATGCTGCATAGTCGAATACTAATTAAAATCGTGTCTGCCGTTGTATGACATAACATATATAACATCACGCCTTTTATCCTCGAAGGGGTAGGCAGAGGTGCACGTTATGCCACTGTACAATGTAATACCTACTTTTCAGTATTTATGTCATGAGTCCCATGTAATAGGGGTCGAGACTATTGCCATATACCGGGCACAATTCCACCTCTCGTTGCTGCCTCGTTGACCGAGTAATCGCAAGTGCGACTGCTGTGTAAGGGGTTTTGGGTTCGATTCCCGGGTCGCGCAAAATATGACTGGGTTTTTAAAAAATTCTCAGTAGTAGCACGAAGTTATTAAAATACGTGGAAAATAGAAAAAAGTACATTGGTTTCAACACTTACCTTAGAATATTTTAAAACCAATGGAAGACTCATAGCTGATGATAACATCCACACGAAGGCGATCTTCACCGTCACTCTTTTTCTTGTTTTATTTCGACCGAACCTCATTGGATACCGGAGCGAGAGGTACCTGGGGAGGAACAGTCTGTTAATACCTCACAAGTTTTAGATTCCATCAATAAATTATTACGTCATATTATACATTTATTCAAATAAAAAACTTAAATTAAAAACTAACTATTACTTAATTACTTAAAAAAAATTAAAACTAAATATTACTAAATTAAATATATACAACTTAAGATTAAAATTAATTATAATTACGTCATTCATTCTAGAATAAAAATATTTTGTTGCATATATTATTATGTTTTCGGCTTACTCACGTAGTAATTTGACGAGGAGCTCGACTAGTTTCAAGCCATGCTAGAGGCTCATATACATGAGCAGCATTTCGAGTTCCTCGTCAAATTATTACGTGAGTAAGCCGAAAACATAATAATTTATTTAGTATGTCTCTCGAAAGTTACAATACAAATATTTTGTTGCATTTTAAATTCAAAAACAATTACTGATAAAATCTCACAATGTAACTAAAAAATAATCTAAGAATGTTTTACACATTACTTAAGTTTATTATCATGTTTTCGGCTTACTCACGTAACTGATTAACGAGAAACTCGACTAGTTTCAAGCCATACTAAAGGCTTATATACATGACCAGCATTCCGCAACTAAACGGCAAACAGTTACATGAGTATCCCGAAAGAAGTCTGACAAAAAACTAATATGAACTTAAGATTATGTCAAATTAACTGAGACATATTTCGTATTAATAATTTGTACCTAAAATTATCCGCCAGTTTAATTTAAAGGGAATTGAATTAATTAAATTTTCTACTTAAACCCTAAGGTTGACTGGTAGAGAATGCCATATGGCATTAAGTTCGCCTTATGTACCATAAACAAATTATGTACATTAAAGAATAAATAAATAAATAAATAAATTAATCACCGTGACACTACTTCCAATTAAAATGAGACAAAAATATGTCAAACGAACACTATCTGAATAAGTTTCACCTTTATAACCAGCATTAAAATTAATAACCTCATGTCCTATAAATGTAGGTTCTATAATAAAGCCTACGTGTTAATTAATTATAAAACCAATTAAAATATTAATTTACAAACCTGTCGACGCTAATGGTGCATAGATGCATGATAGACGCTGTACAGAGGAGCACGTCGAGACAGAGCCAACACAAGCAGTAGATAGCTGGCAGCGGAAAGTAACCTGTCAAAGAAAAAAAGACTTTAATTACTACTGTGTTAAAAATTAAATTCCGTTAACTGTAAAATGTAGATGATGATTCTTTAATCTAATTAGAAAAGAGAGAAGCGCTAATAAATAATACTGTGATTTTAACAGCCTGCCTCATTGGCCGTGTGGTCGCAATTGCGACTGCAAGGGGTCTAGGGTTCGATTCCCGAGTTGAGCAAAGTATTACTGGGTTTTTCTCAGTGGTAGCACAGAGTCTGGAACTGTGCCCGGTATATGACAATAGGCTCACTCCCTATTACATGAGACTCATACCAAAAATAGTGAAAAGTGGGTGTTACATTGTATAGTGACATTAAGTGCCGTAATGTGCACCTCTGCCTTTCCTTTCGTGGATAAAAGTAACCAGTAACAGTAGGTACCATACAATTAAACATAATTTTAAAATCGAATAACTCACGACACGTAGCACCTTCTAAGACACTCAGTAATAAACATTGTAAAAAACAAAATCATAAAGGTTAAATTTTTAATACTAAACTATATGTTGCCAACATTTTTTACTTAATCTACTTTGAGGCCATTAATCCTATTTAGTACGGCGAGTATAAATAAACAACTATTTTTACGCGAATATCGTTACCGCGAGCCTCCTCGAGCGAATATCGATGTGATTGCAAAATGAAAATGCTTTTTAATACATTTTAATAAACAAGTGTTAACGTCAGTTATGTAGGAGTGAGTATGTCACGCATTCATGTTTATATTATTATTATGTAGGTATTACTAAACTACTTTAAGTGTTGGAGTGCTATGCTTCGGCACGAATGGGCCGGCTCGACCGGAGTGATACCACGGCCTCACAGAAAACCGACGTGAAACAACGCTGGCGTTGTGTTGCATAAGCATTGCTTTAGCATACATAGGGACTTACAGACGGCGGATAGCGACTTCGTTTTATACTATATAGTGATGACTTTCAAAGGTCGAACAAATTTTAAAATATCCTTTGGTTTTATACTGTGACTTAACGAAAACGTTGTTTCACGTCAGTAATTCGTAAAGTCGGGTATAATCCGGTTCTGTATCTGTCTATTATTATTTTTATTATATGTCTTTATCAATTATGGGACCACAGGGTCCCGGTCATTTGGGAGGTGTACCAAGTGCCGAAGCCAACGCCGCTGAGACCCTTGAGATGACTTCAATCTAAATGCAATGGGACACAAACCGACGACTATCCCTGTATGCACTACGGAAGTGCAGCCAAGCATAGTCGCCGGTTAGTATAAAACTATTTTAGACAATGAAATACAAGGTAGGGCTATTAATGGGTTGCCGACTTGTAAAACTGGGAATTATGGCTTGTACTTGCTTTTCCTTATAATGATGCTTCATATAGCAATATGTGATCCAACCTCCCTATATAAGTGTTCACAGATACTACAAACAAACTTGTTCACCTTGTTTCCCCTAGATTGCTCGTACAATGTGTTTGTAAACCGAGAGGTTTGTATCGATTACGTGGTCTTGGGTGACAAAGCTGGATTTTTCTTAAACAAACAATGGTTGTAGGTGTTGGTATACATACGTGATTATATTTAGAGAGTTTATTTTTATCCAAATATTGTTTTTCTATTTTTTGTTTTTTGTTTGGTACAAGCCCGCCACAACCTCCCAAAACCTCTGCAACTCTTGTAAGCCAGGATATACAACCATGAAAACACCGGAACATTGTTTTTCTATTGTATAAGATGGTTAAACTTTATCGTTTCTTATTTTTGTAACCATTTAGTCAAACATGATCAAGTCAGCGTGTACTCAAGTGTGGGAGAACCATGCAATGGCATGAATGGACCTGCTCGACCGGAGTGATAACAAGGCCTTACAGAAAACCGACGTCAAACAACGCCTGCGATGTATTTCATCGTGTGAATGAGGTTAACGGATGCCCAATTACACCCTCCTTCTCCCCAATCTTTATAATAAACTTAAAATTTATAATCCCTAAAAGGCCGGCAACGCACTTGTAACGCCGCTGGCGTTTAAGGTGTCCATAGGTAGCGCCGATTACTTACTGTCAGGTGATTCATCTCCTAGTTTACTAGCTTATCCCACAAACAAAAAAAAAAGAAATTCCAAAATAGTGCTCATAAACTTGTTCACATATGCCTATTGCTTTCAATAAAATGTATAAGTAGATATTTTACTATGCAATTTCATTATTTTCCAAAATTAACTTATGCATTGTTATCATTTGACTCGACTGTTTCGTTGGCCGAGTAGTCGCAAGTGCGACGGGCAAGGGGTCTCGGATTTGATTCTCGGATCGGGCAAAGTATTACTGGGTTTTAAAAAAAACCTCAATAGTATCACGGAGTCTGGAATTGTGCCCGGTATATTCTATAGGCTAACCCCCTATTACATGGGACTCATAACACAAATAGTGAAAAGTGGGTGTTAGATTATACAGTGGCATCAAGTACCGTTATGTGCTCCTCTGCATACCCCACCGGAGATAAAAAGGCATGATATTATGTTACCAATATGATACTCTCCAAAAACTATTACAATTTTATTACAACTACAGGTACTATTCAAATATGAAAGCCCTTGTCAAAGAACTTTCAATCCTATTTTGTATAACAAAAAGAACTATAAGTATTCCCAAATCTCAAAGACCATTAGTCTCTTCCCATTGACAAGTGGGCCTGAAACTAGACCCATAAACATGCCAGATCTCATTGGGACCTCTTGAAATATATGGGCTGTTGAGAGTTCAAGGTTTTTCAAACTAAAGAGCTGATTAGCTAAGATTTATATTGAAACCTTGCTACTCTAGTTTAGTACTTTATTTATTGTAGTATAGATGGCGTGGTGGCTCGAGTGTTAAGATGTTCGCTTCTCATGCATGAGGGTGCGGGTTTGAAACCTACCAATGGCAAGTATTAATGTGACTGTTTGCGTGTTATATGTACTTTCTAAGATTTTTCAGACAACACTGTACAACGGTGAATGAGATTGAAATCGCCAGTCTGAATTGAGCAAGCTTAATGCTCAAACCTCCGTGCGAAAAGAGGCTCTGCCTAGCAGTGGGCATATAATTATATAGGCTATTGATGTAGATTGCTTAGTTCCAAGTTCTAGGTAATACCTACGAAGGAAGTTAGGTAATTAAAAAATATTAGACAAATATTTTTTTTTATTTTGTCGTATAATAAAACAATACTTAGATAAAATGAATCAAAGTTTAGGAGTGGGGGCTAAAACGTCATTTCTACGTATAAAATGTGCATAGAAGTGACGTCACGCGATATTTCAAATCAATATATCGTGGAAAGTATTCGTTTCTGTAAGAAAATAAAAAAATACGTGTCTAATGATTTAAAATAATCTACCAGACGGACATTAAAATAAAAATTAGGCATCTACCCTATTGTATTATTTATTATTTAGAACTCAAAAGAGAGCCTTACATTCAAGTAAATTATTATTTTTTTATTATCAGTATAGCCCAAATAGTATAGTTTTTGTTCCATTTTCCAAAATAAAGAAGTAAAAGTAGCCTATGTTACTCCTTAGTATATCAGCTACCTGCCAATAAAATTCTTACTAAACTGGTCCACCCATTCCAGAGATTAGCCAGTACAAACAGACAGACAGACGAATATTGTATTTTTTTTTATTTGGTTTGTGTATCTTATGTATATATTCATTATGCATGTAGTAAAAAGCGGTTTTTTCAATAATACGAACAGTTACTCAGCTTTTTCGTTCTAGGAATATAAACAAAGCGATATTTTGTTCATGTATAGATAATATCCATCTATACGTCTGATATTTTCTTCAAACGATAACAGGCCTGTTGCTATGTTATGTATGTTTTATATTGAATCTCTTATGAATCCGAGAAGCCATTCTATTCAGATTAGGTATTCCTATTACACGTAATATACGCAAGTAATGTGCTTCGAAATTAAAGCCGGTTGATCAATTCGTGTAATATTGAATTTTCTTTCATTTTCGAATATTTTACTACATGTGAACCTTCAAATTGGAAAGTAATTCGATTACATTTATGGTTGAATCTATTTTTGGTAACTGATTACTGAATCTTGTTCTATTTTGGATCTGTAAGTCGTTAAGCTAGAGAGATTTTTATGTTTTAAAACACGAACACAGTTCGAAACTATCCAGATTCCGTGTTCCGCCTAAAATCTAAGCTGTGTGATTGACTGAGTAATTGCAGGTCACTAGATCACCTATTTTAAATCTTACTCAGTATTACAAACTAAAGCTTAGTATAGACAGTAAATAGTAATTTTAGTAACTCCCTGATTGTTGTAGGTTATAAACTTAAAGGTCACGCTACACAGTTGCTACGCCGTAGCTGATGTCACCGCTACGATGCTTTCGTAGCAAGCCGCTACGATCTTATGTCAACACCTCGCTCGGAGAGGATTTACTACTTTTGCCACGAGTATTCATAATAACTTAAGTTCGATGTATTTGTCGAAGGAACGGTGTATGTTAATTATATTTCATTTAGCAGCGAACGGAAATGTAATGATGAAAATGATGACGACAACATTTACTTTTTGATACTTAATTAAAATATTTTCCAGAATAAAAGCTCCAAAAAAAACATCCTCACGCTTCACGTATTTTAACGGCATATCACTTTCGTGGGGCTTTTAACAAATTTGTCAATAAGCCGCAGGGCGCACCCCTAATCAAACACGCGGTTAGTTAGTGGCAACCCTAACCGCTATTCATTAGCCTACAATCGATGTTTGCTGAGTCCAAATTACTGGGAAAATTGTACTGAAATGGGGACACTTGCGAAATCGGAACCAATCACAGTGTCACACTGATAGACGATACATAAATTAATTCCCATGGTTAGTTAGTTAATTATAAATGCAGGGGTAATTTTATACATATTTATAATAAATAGACTGCTTTGCTGATTGAACAGCTGCGTCGAGCCTAACAGATAAGAAGTTGGTTGAGTT